CTCCTTCTCCCCCGGCTGAGGAGACCACTAAAGTCGAGCCTGCTCCATCTGAGGCAGACCTTCAGCAGCAGCCGGATGCTTCTGAGCGTCCACAGCGCACTCGTCGTCGTCCTGCTCGATACGCCGACTGACTCTGACTTACCTTCCCACGTCCTTGACTTCTCAGTATTGCATCCACTCCAATTTTGCTACTTCGGCTCGTCGACGTTGAGGCTCTTCCTCGACGGCATTCCGGACTTCTCATCATGGACGTCATCGGCAGCTTCATGAACTTCGTCAAGATCAGCTCTGCCTACTTCAGACGTCGCCACTCTCTTACCACTTTACCCTGTACAGTACCTTGCTTGTGTCGCATGATGGTCTCCCTTTAGCCGGGTTCCTCTGAGTTGGGCTCTCCCTTGGTATACGCATAGGCATCGGGACCGTAGCATTGCCCTGGCTTCCCATCTTACGGATCTAGCTCCGACTTCCTTACTTTATGAGTCATTTGCATGATTTCCTTACCCATCATCTTTCTACCCTTCGCCGGCCCTCACGCCCTAGTTAGGCAGCCCCGCATGCTTCATCTAGGTGCGCCCAGTATACCAGGCTCCCTTGTTCCCTTGCATGGTCGACCCTCCATAGCGGTCACCCCTTAGTCGAGCATTACCCGCCCTGATGGTCTATMTGTTAGGGTCATTGGTTCTGTTCGCTCCCAGTTCCYYACCCTCATTGAGCCTGATGACATGTGTTTTCCCCTGTCACTATGTGTGGATGCCCTTAGGAGTTTTCGACCCCTAGGCTGCATTCGCCACCCTCAGAGACCATCCCAACCTTTGGTTTGCGACATACTTCTCATGTGACATATGATAGACTTGTTGTTGCTTTGTTGCTCTCAGACTGAGGCTACTGCCTCTGACATTTCTAGGATTTAGTTGTTCTGCTTTTGCTGTTCTTAGGACTTATACACTAGTCAGTTGTTACCAGACTGAGGCTAGTGCCTCCAACATTCTAGGATCTAGTTGTCACTACTTTCTGCTTTCCTAGGACATGTATGCTAGTTAGTTGCTTTTGCTGTCCTAGGATATGTATGTTAGTTAGTTGCTTCTGCTTTCACTTAGGCTGTTAGTTGTGACATTGTTGTTTTGTGACATTTTATATCCTAGGTTGCATCGCATGGACTCAGCATGGAGCTTGCTCCGCATCCTAGACTACTCAGGTTTTCTTTTTTTTGGTAGAGTTCCGCTTCTTGGCGGAAGCATGTTTGTATCTAGGCGATCCATCACAGGACGAGGACCGTGTAGCGGACCTCGGGTTGGCCTGTGAGACCAGCCCCTTGGCCTGTTCTCACAGGCCTGTGTTGTATTCAGGATAGGCCAGTCCAGGCCGGTACCTCTGTCGGTACCAGCCAGTCCAGTCCAGTCCCGTCCGTCCGCTGGGGTATACCCCAGCCATTGTCTGTTTTCAGTATCATTCTTCACTTGCTTCTTTTGGAGTACGTGCGTTGGAGTCTTGCGTGGGGAGCTGCGTTGCGCCATCTCGCTCCCCCCTTCTTCCTCCATCTCCATCTCTACCACTAGCGGAGCACCACACCTGGTGGGTCCGCTACAGACTCATTGGAACCCCACCCACCCCGGAGGGATCTTCCAGTGAACCGCCGTCCTCGAAACCAATGGCTTGCCCGGCCTTGAATGACCTGCGCAGACCATCTGCCTTATGACCAGAGGCGGCCCGCCCTCTCCGCCAAGTTGCACTCGTGCCCCTGAAAAACTCTACCAGAGGAGATCTCAATTCTGACCTGAGACTCCACCCCCAGTTTCCCAAAAATCCTTGGCACACCCGTTTTCGCACTTCCAGGCCCACATCCTACTCCGATCAGGAAATCGCATTGGGCGTGAGGTTGGTATCGGAGCCCGACACGTGGCCGGGTTTTAGGATTGATAGCACGTTAATTGAGCGATCTGGCTAACCAAGGGCGACCTCGACCCCGGAACTCGCATAGACGTGACCCCGTCAACACCCGAAGTAGGTCGGCTAATCGACGGGCGGCCAATATGAACGCTAATCCACAGAATCCGAACCCACAGCAACAGAATGCGAATCAACAACAAAATCCTAATCAGCCCGCCCCACGAGCACGGGCTCCCATGACGCCACCTGATCTCTATCTGTTTGATCATGCACATCATCTTGCTGGAGCATGGGGGAAAACTGCTTTTCCAACTTCCCCCTTATCGTTCGGCTGCGGAGTCCGTCTATGAATAGATCTCTCCCTACTTGCTTGCCTCGCTCAGTTTTTACAAACATTCGGTAAAACCGGTTTCGATACTCTGCAATGGATTCGAGAGGTTTTCGAACTCGGTCCTTGATCATGTAGAGCGCTTGCTCTGGATGGACGTAATCGAATCGATTCAAAAAATCTCGCTCGAAGGTCGGGAGATCCACCCATACATAGGTACTAAACCAA